TGCTAAATATTAAAATTAACTACAATATAATAAGAGTGACATTTTTAAATATTATATAACTTTCTTCGGATCACATTCTCTCCAATTAATTCATAATGTGCAGTTAATTCGTAGATAGGTAGTGAAACTATTAAATTGTAGCGAAAAAATAAAATCATAAATTTCATAATTAGAATTTTATTATAAGATATAAGAGGAGAATCACAATTTTAATAATGTGATATGATAACACATATTAGTTCGAATAATTTTCATCTATTTCTAATTCAATTTCAAAAGATTATTATATAGGATTTTAAAATTTATGATGTTTATATAAATTATGATATAAAAATATTAATATTGATCTATGAAAAATTTATGAGAATGTTTTATAATATTTCTATTCTTCAATCTTATTTTTTTTAATTTTTTGTCTTCTTTTTTTCTCGCACTTCTTGATTGTTAATAATAAGAAAACTTTATGCATATTTATTTCTTTTATATATTTAACTTCTATCAAATTGGTTATCATTAATTTTAAAAAATAATTTTCCGTAGATCACTCCTTTTTTATAGTTGAATAACTCATCTTATATTATCTAATAAGTCAAATAATTCTTTAAATAAAGTTACCATTAATTTTAAAACTTTTCATAATAATTAATAGATCTTTTTATTTTATTAAATTATTATAATTATATTTCTATTAAATCATATAATTAAATTAATTTATTTATTAATTTTAACATATCAACCATGTCGTATTGTGATATATTTCAGGATTACCTAGTCTTGATATTTACCAAACCGTAGTAAAATATTTTGTTTGTAGTAAAACACCAAAGCAAAATCAGAGAAAATTACAATTTATTTTCTAGAGATCAATGTGTATTTTATATATATATATATATATATATATATATATATATATATATAATTGAAATTTTAAAAATATAATAATTTTAAACCTTTAAAAATGAATAATGTAGTCAGAGATAATGAATAAAAACACTTATGTTTTTCAGATTGAATGTTTAATCAAAGATAACTAATGTAAAGATAAGACATCACTGACCAAGTAAGTATTTAGTTTAAACATTAAGAAAGATAACATCAAATGTATTTTCTTTGATCAAAGATGAAAATATCATATTCAATTTTAAGACTTTTTTAAAAAATTTCTTAATGAAAGGAAAGTTAAATTTATGCCCTTTAAACATAGAGTGGAATATACTTGAATTCCTTAACTTAAAAACGTGTTTTGTTAACATTTAACAAAAAAAAGTATAAATGCATAGAAAGAAATGAAGCAGTAAGGCAAGGAAAGCATAGAAGAGAAACCGAGAGAAGGTGTGGTGTCGCGTGCTGACGAAGCCAGGTATCACTCCTTTGCAAACAAAACCGCCACGTACATTCATGCATAAATAAATAACTAAAAATCGTTCCTTTTTTTGCATTTGTCGCAGTTAACAACCCATCATGATTCTTGATACGTGGCCTTCCGTGGGTTAATCCTTTTAGATCTAGGGCCAAGATGACGTAGAATAGAGGGTAGGGATGAAAGATTGCAATGCCCTTGTTTGTTGTAGTTTCAGGGGAATTAGCTTGCGTTCTTATTAGGCCAAAAGAAAGGAATAAAGAGTGGGTAGGGTCAGAGAAAAGAAGGAAGGTTTGTGTGGGAGACACTGTCTTACTGAACTGCTTATATATTTTTCACTTTCCCTCGTTCCCTTCTCTTCTCCATTTAATCGGTAATCCTATTCCTCCATTCTCATTCTTCTTCTGTGTCTTGATTCAATTTATTCTTTGATCATTCTCATCCTTCGTCTTTTTCTTGATTTATATAATTATTTGATCGCATATTACAATAATCCCGGTCCTCTTCATTTTAAACACCACTGTGTGAGTGTCTTTCTGATCTGTTTAGTTTCACCTAACTCTTTATTGATTAATTTTGTTTTCATGCGCAGATCGACTCCGCAAATTGTACTTTATTATTATAATAACCGCTTTCCACATTCTGTCTATATATGCTATTTCAAATAATTTTCTTCTTTTGCTTCCCTTCTTTCGGTGGATAATAGAAAAAAAATAAATTATTATCACATTTGTCTGGACTTTAGTATGTTTATTAATTTATTATTACATTTATTTTTAGGGATAAATATAGATGATTTTTTTTTGTCATTCAATTTTCATTGTTTTGATCAGAATAAAGCTGCCAAAATATTCAAATGTTTTTTTTTTATTTGTCAATAATATTATATTAAGCATTCCAACTTTTAACTACACCCGTCTCCCATTTGAGTATTTTCGTGGTAACAGTTCTAATTGAATATTAATTTGGGTGCATAGGAGAACATGGGAATCTACATGAACGTTGTCGGTTTGTGCTTGTTTGTGACAACCCTGTTGCTTTCTGCGGTGTCTTGTGCACCAAATGACGGGCTGCGAAGGATTGGGCTTAAAAAAATTAAATTGGACCCTAACAACAGGCTTGCTGCTCGAATTGGGTCCAAGGATGTTGATTCTTTTCTGGCTTCTATTAGAAAGTTTCATCTCCAAAACAACTTTGGTGGTGCTGAGGAGACCGATATTGTTGCTTTAAAGAATTACTTGGATGCTCAGTATTTTGGTGAAATAGCTATTGGAACATCTCCTCAGAAGTTCACTGTCATTTTCGACACAGGCAGCTCTAATTTGTGGGTCCCATCATCTAAATGCATCTTTTCTGTAAGTATTTTGCCTTATTCACTACTATATTATTTGTCACTTATGAATATTTTCGAATTTAATTGCTCTCATTTATCGTATTTATTTATGCCATTTTGCATTTTGGAGCAGATTGCATGCGTCTTCCATGCTAAGTACAGGTCTAGCAAATCAAGTACCTACAAGAAAAATGGTTTGCCTTCCTCGTCATTTCTAATAATGCTTTGAAGTTAACGTTGTTCTTTTAGTCCGTGGTTGAGCTAAAACTGTTTGCGGAAGTTCCCTCGTTTTATAAATTAACAAACTGAAAATTTGAAATTTTAGTAGCTGGCTAATATTCTTTCGTTTTTTAAAGTAGTCTGAACTCTTGTATGTTCTGTCTCTACATTGTATCAATAGGAACAAACATATGGCTATTGGGTTAATGGTAATAGAACGGTTGGATGTTTGCAGGTTCTGACTTTGTTATTTGGTTTGTAGAATATATCTATCTGTGACCTATGTGTGAGTCGTGGTTGTTTATATGTTCTTCTATTTTTGGCCACTTGTTGTTTTGCACATGTAGAAGGGATGCTGCGATGACGTATGACATAATATTTTTCTCGCTATTTAGGTACTGCTGCTGCAATTCAATATGGTACCGGAGCAATTTCTGGTTTCTTTAGCTATGACAGTGTTAGAGTTGGTGACGTAGTTGTAAAGCACCAGGTAAGGCTGTATTGCTGATCATCAATGTTTATTTCAATAGAGGAGGGTGTGAGATGGATTCTCATAATATGTCGATGAGTAATTAGTAGAATGCCCTTTTGATCCCCATCAGGAATTTATTGAAGCAACTAGGGAGCCTGGTGTTGTATTTTTGGCAGCCAAGTTCGATGGTATACTGGGACTTGGATTTCAAGAGATATCTGTTGGAAAGGCTGTTCCAGTGTGGTATTTGTTATAAATTAAATTTTATTCGTTATTTTGTTAAAAGTTTATTGAATCAGCCGCTTGCAAAGGCATGGCAAGTCTGCTTAATACAGACCTAGTGGGTCCAATTCTTCCTATAGTGAAAGGCTTCCCTTTTTATTCTTCTTAAATGTATATTGAAACCCCATGTGTTTATCTTAACTAATCTGTCACAGGTACAACATGCTTGAACAAGGTCTTATTAAGGAACCAGTATTTTCATTTTGGTTCAACCGAAAACCAGAGGAAGAGGAAGGGGGTGAGATTGTTTTTGGTGGTGTTGATCCTGCTCACTATAAGGGAAAGCACACCTATGTTCCTGTGACCAGAAAAGGATATTGGCAGGTTACTGTTTTTTTTTTTTTTTTTTTTTTTTTTTTTGTACTCCAATGTTTTTTTTTTTTTTACCATTTTCTTTGTTAATTTTCTTTTTTGTTTTCAGTTTGATATGGGAGATGTACTTATTGGCGGTAAACCCACGGGTAAATGTAGATAATGTGTTAGCAAAAATGTCATTTTGTTCTTCCTATGATGTATATATGACACCCTCGTAAATGGGTCATAGTTTCAGTTTATTTTGACTAACTTGATGTAATTGTCATTCAGGATATTGCGCTGATGGCTGTTCAGCCATTGCAGACTCAGGGACTTCTTTATTGGCCGGTCCAACTGTATGATTAAATGCTCGTAGATATCGCTTGATTAATATTTGCTGTATAGTTTCAATTTAATATGGTTAATATTATATGCAACACTCTTCCCATGAGACATTCCTTTGTCAGTTCATGATCTATTTCAACAATTATTGGAATTTTAGACATTGATCTTTTTCATTGCAATGTTTATATTACCATGTGGAAAAAAGTCTAACAAATGCTTCGGACTAGCTTGTTTCTATGAACACTTGTTTGCTTTTGTTCTTGTAGACTGTAATAACTATGATAAACCATGCAATTGGGGCAGCTGGAATTATGAGCCAAGAGTGCAAAACCGTTGTTGCGGAGTATGGACAAACGATATTGAATTTGCTTTTGGCTGAAGTGAGTACCATTCGTAATTTGTTATTGGCATATTTTTTGTTGATTAGATTCTGCCCTATTGTCTCGAATGGTATGTTCGAAAGATCTGATATTCTTTTAGAATAAATTTTCTGATGTTTTTTGCTTTACACCCTTTAGACCCAGCCGAAGAAGATCTGTTCTCAAATTGGGTTGTGCACCTTTGATGGGACCCGTGGTGTTGAGTAAGTCTCGCAGATATTTTTACTCCTTGGGTTTTTGGTAATTTATGTAACTACTTTAATATATTTAATACGGAATTTCCATTTTATTATTTGTCCCCCCGCCCCGCCTAGTATGGGTATAGAAAGCGTTGTGGATGAAAATGCAAGAAAATCATGTGGTGGTCTTCATGATGCTGCTTGTTCTGCGTGTGAGATGGCGGTTGTTTGGATGCAGAGCCAGCTGAGCCGAAATCAGACGCAGGATCAGATACTAAGCTACATCAATCAAGTGAGTGAGCTCTCTTAGTTTTGCTGTTCATGCATCCTGCTGTACCTCTCTATTCATAAGCTCATGATGATGTTGCAGCTTTGTGATAAAATGCCTAGCCCGATGGGACAATCTTCTGTTGACTGTGGGAATATCTCTTCATTACCTGTTGTGTCCTTTACCATTGGTGGAAGAACTTTTGACCTGCGCCCAGAGGAGGTATGATTTCCTCAGGCTAAAACCTGATCGGTTGCTTTAACGCTTTTGCAATGACTGATAACTACCGGGTTTATTTTAATGAAACCATGATCAATTGAAAGCAGTAGGAGTTAAGAGTAAGGGAAAAGACACGGCATCCTTTTATAGAAAACTAAAATCAAGAACAGAAATGAAGCTAAACTTGGTTACGTCAGCTGAATTGCAATTGCATAACTTTACGTAAAGAAACCATGGGCTAAAAAATACCCATATCCTATTGATGCCTTATTTTCCATGCTAGCCTTGACGTAATAGTTTACTAGTTAAGTGATTTAGTCAGAATGTGATTCTTCTAGTTTCTACCAAAATATGGGTAGTAATAGTTAGTACAAAGAAATGAGTGAACACCTAATTTAGTCCTAAAATATACATGTGACATCAATCTAGTCCTCCAAAGAATTTGACATCAACTTTAGTCTCCCATTTGTATATAAACCAACATCAATTAGGAACTTGGGAGCTCCATTAATTTACAGTCCTTATTAATAAAATTTACATTAGTTTAATCTCTAAATTCGTAGCTCCATTGCTGCTGGTATTCCCATGATTTTTATACAAGAGAAGTCTTTTATGTTACCAAAAAATTGTGATAGAGGGATTGAATTGATGTCAACATTTTGTCCTCTGTACAGTTTGGGACGAAAATTTGTTTTTACTCAACATTTAAGAATAAAGGGCTGTCGTGTAGCAACGGGAGTTGCATGATTTTATTGCCCAAATGTTCTCTTGTCCTCATTCAGTTATTTGGTGTATTCAGTACATACTCAAGGTGCGTGAAGGCCCAGCGGCTCAGTGCATTAGTGGCTTTACTGCTATAGATATTTCACCTCCTCGTGGCCCTCTCTGGTACGTAAAAATTTCTTCAACTATAGGGAGAATGACATTTACCTCACTTTTTCTATTATATATTGCCTTTGGATTGTGATTCGTCTTATTTGATTCTCACTCAATGGCATCTACATTAATGTAGGATCCTTGGTGACGTCTTTATGGGCCGTTATCACACAGTATTTGATTTTGGTAATCTTAGAGTGGGATTTGCTGAAGCCGCATAAAGTGATTAAAAGAATATGGACCTGAAGTTCTGGTTTGTACACATGTTTATATCAATGTTAAATACTTTGGGTGTTTCATAATATAGATTAACAGTTGTATCTGTGGCATAGGCCCATAATAGGGTCCGTACTGTGACTATGCAGGTTTAGTCGAAAGGGTATAGTTCTCATGATTCCTGGTAGGCTGTTTATTTTTAAAATAACAAATCAAGGCTAATCTATAAAAAAATAAGACAAAAAGGGGCAGTTTTAAAATTACAGAAGTAAACCAAGTATCTTTAGAACGCTAGAACTCTAGTTGTAAACGAGTCAATTCAAATAATGACCAATGCCTGATTAGAGATTAGAGATTTGTGGTGTTAGCCTCTCTTACGTCATCCTTCTGTCAGAAGCTCGTTGTTACCTTAGTATGAAGGGCTGTGTGGTGCGAGTCTTCGACATTGGATAAGGACTAATGGTGATAGTAAATCTGATTCTAATGATCAGTTTTGGCAACTGACCGATAAGGGAATGCTAATAGAACATATCAATTTTGGATTGAATGATAAACTTTTAAAGATATGTCCTGTATTGTTAGGGAACCGTAGACTTTTTTCTGAAATAATATTAAAAAAATTATTATTTACGAAAATAGATTCGGCTGATTTTATTTATGTTTCGCTGAACCATAATAGCAATTCGGATTTCGGTTAATTTCCAACCAAATTCTGAATTTTTGTTTTTCAGCTTATATTTTTATATTTATATATTTATATATGGTAATAATTTAATAATTATATATTAGTATATTTAAAATACTTATATGCTTATATTTAAATATATATATATATATATATATATATATATATAACTAAAAATTATTATATTTATATATATTAAATATTTTTATGTTTGTATAATATATATAATTATATAGTTAAATATTAATATATGAATATATTTATACAATTATATATTTTTGTATGTTTAAATAATTAAATATTTATATATTTTATTATATTTTTAAATAATAATATTTATTTAATAATTGTATAGTTATATATTTTTATTATTTATATATTTATAAATTGATATAATTGTATTTGACATATATATTTAAATTTTAATATATTACTATATATATATATATATATATATATATATAATTTGATGAGTATATATTTATATAATTATATATTAATATATGTTAAGACAGCAAAAGCAAATAGCTATATAATTATATAAAAATGTATTTATTAAATATATAAATATATAATTATATAAAAATATATTTATTAAATATACAAATATATGTATTTATTAAATATACATATATTTATTAAATATTTTATTATATAATATTTATTAATTGCGTATTAATATATTTTATTATATAATATTTATTAATTGCATATTAATTAAATTAAATGTAGAAATATATTAAAATATATAATTATATAAATATGTATTTATTAAATATGCAAAATATATATTTATATAATTATTAAATATTTATATAACTATATATTAATATATGTTAAGACAGCAAAAGCAAAAAGCTATATAATTATATAAATATGTATTTATTAAATATATAATTATATAAAAATATATTTATTAAATATACAAATATTTATTAAATATTTTATTATATAATATTTATTAATTGCATATAAATATGTATTAATTAAATATAGAAATATATAAAAATATATAATTATATAAATATGTAAATATATATTTATTAAATATCTTATATAGTATTTATTAACTATCTGCAAATATTTAAATATATCAAAATATTTAAAATACATAATTATAATAATTAAATATTATTACATATTTATATATTGATATAATTAATAAATTATTATCCTATATAAATATAATAATATTTAATTATATCATATATATATATATATATATATATATATATATATATATATATATATTTTAAATATATAAATATAAGCTGCGAAAAAAACACAGTTCTGAATTTGATTCTTCGGGTATCGAAATGTGATTATTTTTTAGTTTCGTGACACATTCTCGTTTAGAATTCAATTTTCTGAAACTGAATGAGAATTTAATTTTCCGAAACTGAATTTTGACCCCTTATCTATTTTCGTAAATAATGATTTTTTAAATATTATTTAAAAAAAAGTCGGCAACAATATGTCTAGAAATTTTATCTAATATTTTATATATATAGAACATGTAAAATAAATACAATTACAAAAGCTATTGATGATCCTGTTGAGAAACCATTTTGAATCCTTCTAATTTTTTACATCTAAAGAAACTATTAAGAGGATAATACAAGGTCAAAATTTTCTAGTAAGCTTTTTTTTTTTTTTTTTCATATGCTATATTTTATGTTTTGAAGTTGATCAGAGAAACGTGTCAGTTAAAATGGTAATAATTTAAAATTTAAGTAGCATCACAAAGATTTGAACACACATTGTATTTTAATAATGATATTTAGGTAAATTTATAGCGTTTGTTTGATTTGAAGTATGATCCAATAAGAATTTAGATAGGCACCAAACTAGTTCATGTATGATTTTAAAGGTGGACGAGGGAATAATAGAAATGATGAAAGAAAAAAAAGTCAACAATTCTGTTAGAAATTGGAGCTTGTACCCAGAGACAGCATTTTCTAAGGTCTTGTGAACACTAAACATAAAATTTAAAAGTCTAAATTATTGTTGTTATTCTTTCTCTTATTGGGACTTTTCCCACTTGCGGTTTCAAATTAGTTCTCTTTTCAATGCAATTTTTGCCACTACTGCCACCATGTTCTGAATGAATTTCTAACGATAAGTAAGTAATGATCTGTGATAAATCCACATCAATCAGAATTTGTTTGACAATTTATTCTCATTCAATATATATTATGATTATTATAAAATAGAAAAGATGTCAGTGCTGTTATAACTTATAATATTTAATACAAATACTATAATTTTTTTATAATTATCCATATAAATATATCATTGATAATAATTTAATGATTAATAACAAAATATTGTTTTGTGTGTTGTCCTACTGCAAATACAAATTAAATGATTCAGAAGATATTTACACTAAATTGAACATTAATGTGATGCATTTATATCAAATTACATAACACACAAAATTACTTGCGTTATTAACTAATAGACAATCACAAAACAGCTCATTGTAACTCCCTTTTCATCAAATTTATCATAAACTTATTGTCTTTGAGCTCTAATTATTTTAAACTGCTTAGATATATTTAATCATTCAGTTCATCTTTGAACAACATATATATTTTTATAACCTTCTTTATAATCTTAAAACACTTAAAAATATTTTGGATAACAATAGAAACACTTATAAAAAATCTATTAATTAATTTCAAACCTGATTTTATGTTTAGCCCTTACCTCTTTACTGGTGATGTAAATTTTTTAAGCGACCTCTCATGGACATGGATGGGTCTTTCATATTTTGGAAGATAACTAGTGGAATCCACGACCAAAAATTAGGTAAAGTGGAAAAAGATTTGTTTACAATAGAGGCAATTAGATGAGACTATTCGTTTTAGTTTTCATTTTTGTCTCAAGACAGTTTACACTGTTTATCTCTTGCAAGTTGGCATTAGTTGGTATCCAATGTTCATTCAGTATAAATTATAAATGTCCACTCCAACATAAACGTCACAAACCATATCAAACAGTATATTTAAAATAAAAAACACTAAATTGTGACATATCTTAATCCAACGATATTTGAGTTGTATGCAAAATGATATAATGATATGTTCCATGGTTAGGATAAGAAGCTAGATTTTGCCAATAACATTTGTCGTTCCCCCGATTACTTACGAACAAAACTTAATTCTATAACTCTGTAATGTGTACCATTCAACTCACTCTCTCCCCTTTTTTATTTTTCTTCATCCATTAAATTTTATGTTATTGTTGACATTTATTTTCCTTCCTTTCCTAGACTAACCCTAAAAGAGTTTATGTAATATCTTTCACGTTTTCGGTTAGAAGCTGTTATAATAAGGTTAGAGTATGGCATGGTACCTTTATTCACTGAAATTGAATGTTTACCACAACCTTCCTCACTTTTGTTTTTTGTCCCATTGTAATATCTATCTATCCTACCTAATAAAGTCACTCCAAAGTCGGAGAGTAGTTTAGTTTGCACTATATAATCTCTGCACCTGGAGCGTAAAATGACTCAGATACATCATATGATCCAAAACCACTCATACAGCTATATGATGGATGGCACTGAGATCAAGTCATCAGTTGATGTAATCGCATGTGGTTCCTTGAACAATACAAACAACCCCGCCACCACAACCATCACCAACCCACCACATTCACGATTACCATTGTTGACCAAGATCCATGCTGGTTACTTTTTCGTATGCCTTTCCTTTGGTGCACAAGCTTTGCTGTGGAAGAGTTTGAGTAAACACAACAAGGACTCAAACACCCTCTGGCACGGATTCAATCTGATGCCTTCCGTTGCATTTCTACTACTTTGGTGCGTGGCACTGCTCACTGCCACTACTTTATCTTTACTTTTCCTGCTCAAGTGCATCTTGCACTTTGATACGGTGAAGGAGGAGTTCTCACACCATACTGGAATGAACTGCATGTATGCTCCTTGGATTTCTTGGCTTCTCATGCTTCAATCAGCACCCATGATCGTTCACACAACTTGCTATTACAAAGTTCTTTGTTTGGCTTTTTCCTTTGTAATATTTCTGATTGATCTTAAACTTTATGGACAATGGTTCACTACCAAAAAGCAGTTTCTGTCTACTGTGGCAAACCCTACTAGCCAGGTTTCGGTTATAGGGAACTTGGTATCAGCTCAAGTTATTGCAGAAATTGGTTGGAAAGAGAGTGCAGTTTTAATGTTCTCACTCGGATTGGTATTCTATTTAGTTATATTTATAACGCTATATCAGCGTCTGACAGTACTAAGACCAGGTTACTTCTTGTTTATTGCTGCACCAAGCGTAGCAAGTTTAGCCTGGAAATCCATCTCAGGTGCTTTTGTCACCCCATCAAAGATGCTCCTCTTTCTGTCTTTGTTCCTTTTTATGTCTCAGGTAACGTTCTTTTCTGATTTCAATATTCTAGAGCTTTAATTAAGATTTAACTTCTCAGTTTTTTTCTTTTTTTTTTAATTTGTTTCATTCTAATTAACGAGTAACCTTTCTTCCTGAATACAGGCTTGCAGGCCAGCCATGTTCAAGAAATCGATGAAGAGTTTAAACGTTTCATGGTGGCTGTATTCATTCCCTTTAACCTTCCTTGGTCTAGCTTGTTCGGAATATGCTCAAGATGTGAAAAGTAGCATGGCCTCTTGGTTAATGCTGGTTATATGCATGATCTCGGTGCTGGTTTTCATTGGTTTGATGATCATCACTGTACTCAAAATTGAGGTGCTGCTAAAGAAAAATGCTCCCATTACTAGTTGAGAGGTTGAAATTAAAATGCTTTATTATAGGCAATCCTCTCGTGTACACTTTCTTTTCGTAGCATAAAGAGAATAAATATGAGAGAAATTCAAAAAGAAAGAATGAGTAAAAAGAAAATGAATAAAATTTCAGTTATTTGATATGAGAAAAATATAAAGAAAAAGCGAGGAAGATTTTTTTTATGCAAAGACAAATATGTCCTTCTTCACACTAAAAATGATAATTACAACTTTTGCAATGTAGGTTGTACTTTATACTATAATTATCACTTCCTCGTTTTTTTTTTTTTTTTTTTTTTTTTAAAAAGAGGAAGTGATAAGACGTTATCACTTTATACTTGAAGTAGTGCGCATGCTGATACCACGTTATCACTTTCTTTAGTTAAATTTTATTGAACTTTAAGACGATTAAGTGATAAGACAGTGTTCAACATGAAAATGAAAAATGGTGCTTCCTCTCACTCCTCTATCTTTCTTTACCTCATGTTCCAAAAGAAAGTTGTACACTTTTTTGTCATATTTATAAACTTATTTGTCAAATCTTATAGTGGTGAAACATAAGGAAAAATTATGTATACGCTTTAAGAAAGAGAGACTATATGCTTGTTATCACTTAAAAGATAATATATTTTGAGGAAATTAACGTTGCTCCATTCCTTTATATATAGTGTAAAAGAAATTACATGAATATATGTATATTTTCACAATCCATTTTTCATATATAATATTTTATAACCTTCTTATAATATAAGAATAAGAATAAGAATAATAATAATAAACAAATTATATAGAAAAATCAATATTATTATTATATCATTACAAAGAGTTATATAAAAAAATTGGCTATTAAAAATTCTTTCTTAAAATTTTATTTTAAGATACACTACAAGAAAAATCACATTTAGCCACCGAAATTAGTGACCGATTTAGCGATCGATTTAATTTTGATCACAATTAGCGACCACTTTAATTCGGTCGCAATTAGCGACCGATTCAGCGACCACTTTAATTCGGTCGCAATTAGCGACCGATTTAGCAACCAAAATATGAATTGGTTTTCATTTTGTTATTTAGCGACCGAAATAGCGACCAATAGTTTGCGTCGCAAAATTTCGATCGCTAAATCAGTGGCTATTCCACACTAAAATAAAAAAATCATTTAGCGAATGATTTAGCGACCGAATTACAAATTGAAATAGTGACCAAATTATAATCGGTCGCTAATGAGAAAATAGCGACCGAATTTAAATCGGTCAGCTAACTAACATTATTTTTTTATGATATTTAAATTTATTTTTTTATAAATATACTTTAATTGTTTTAGTATATTTTTGACAATTTATTTTTTAAAAGTAATTTATTTTCTAAAAATAATTTAATTTTTAAAAGATACTTTAAAAATAAACTTTGGTCTCAATATTAACAAAATGAAGATTAACTTTAATTTTAAATTACTAAAATAAAAATATTATTAAAAATAAATCAAATTTATTAAAAATTTAAATTGTAATAAATTAAGACTAGAGTAATATTAACTATTCAATACATTGTTTAAGAAAAGTTTAATAATAAATATTCTTTAATTTATTTTTCAAATGAAAATTTCAATTGAAATTAAATTATATTTTAAAAATGTATATTAAAAAAATTAAACACATCAAATGATCACATTTTAATTCCTCATTAACTTAATTAATTAAGAAAATAAAATTTTAATCAAATAATTACAATTTTATTTTATAAAACTTTAGTTTTAATCTAATCTTTAAATTTATTGCTTTATTATTATTAATTACTTAACCATGGTTATTTTCATATAATTGATATACAAAAAAATTATATCAATATACATTAGATAATCAATATACATTAGTTTAAGTATACTAATTAATATTTTTTCATTTTTAACATAATTAATAACAAAGATTAAAAATAGACTACTAGAAATTTAAAACTAATCTATTTTATAAATACTAAAAATAAAGCATATTTAAATAAATTAAAAATATATTTAAATTTATATTTGAAACTATATAATAGCGGTTCCACGTTAACCGCTATCTAAACTATATTTTAGATAGCGGTTAAGGTTTAACCGCTATTAGATGTTCTGTTTTAAGAGCGGTTCCAGTGGAACCGCTATCATATACAACCATTATGATCGATTAAATTTTCAAATAACCGATCATATTGGATAATTTTTTCAAATAATTAATTATAATCGATTAGTTTTCTAAATAATTGATTAGAATTTATTAGTTTTTCAAATAATAGATTATAATTGATTAATTTCTCAAATATACATTAAAAAATTATAAATAAAAATATAAATTACTTAAGAATATTAATTATTGTATGAAAGTGATGAAGATCTTATTGAAACATTCTGACAAAGATCTTATTGATTTGATGAAGTCAAAGATAAAGTCAAAGTCAACTTTGTAGCGGTCAACAATCACTTTGATAAAAGAGTAGAGGAATTAGTGTGTCTTCGGCTATGCTTAGGTATAATCATTTTTATCTTTTCTGCTGCATGAGGTTTCTTCACTTAAAAGATTTTGCAAAATGCCTCTAAATACGTTTAAGCAGTTAAAAACAAAGTATTTTAACAAAAGCTTTCTTAAACAAGTTTTTAACTGATATAATTTTGAAATAACCGGTTGTTTTCATTAAAGAAAGTTTTGAAAACCTTATGTCAGTGTTTTAACTGATAAAGCTTCGAAATAACCGATTAAAAACACTTAAAATGTTAAGAGAAGTGTTTTTGCAGTATTTTAATGGATACAACTTGGTTTTAATCGATTAAAACCACTTAGAGTTCAGGATGATCGATCAGAATGCAATTATGACCGATCAGAATCAGATATGATCGATCAGAATTGAGTTATGACCGATCAGAGCTTTTTCAATCGATTAAAACACGTTTCAATCGATTAAAACAACTTAGAAAATTTCTACACAACATTTTAATCGATTAAAACTTATTTTTATCAGTTAAAATCACTTGGAAAAACTCACAATAAAGTTTTGCAGTATTTCAATCGATTGAATCACGAAACAATCGATTAAAACAAATTAGAAGATCTTTTGTAAAGAGTTTTAATTGATATAAATGTTGTCGTATCAGTTAAAATAAATCTGTTAAAGAATCAAGAACGTTTTAATGGATTAAAAGAATTTTTAACAGATTAAAACTGCACTTTTAACAGATTAAAAGATTATTTTAACAGATTGATTAAACCAGCAGTTTTGAAAATCTTTTATAAAAACAGTTTGCCTTGAACTTTTTAAACACACATTGAACATCAGTTTTTACACATCCTTGAGCAATCAATCAAGCAAACTTTAGCACTCTTTTCATTATCGATTATAATTAGAAATGATTGATCATAATTGAGAAGATATAATAGCGGTTCCACGTTAACCGCTATCTAAAGTATATTTTAGATAGCGGTTAAGGGTTAACCGCTATTAGAAGTGCTCTTTTAATAAGCGGTTCGAGTGGAACCGCTATCATATACAACCGATTTTTTGATTATGATCGATTAGATTTTCAAAATGATCGATCATATTTGATAATTTTTTTAAATAATTAATTATAATCGATTAGTTTTCTAAATTATTGATTAGAATTGATTAGTTTTTCAAATAATAGATTAGAATTGATTAATTTCGAAATATATACTAAAAAATTATAATTAAAAATATAAATTATTTAAGAATATTGACTATTGTAAAGATAAAGTTGAACATGGGAGGAGATGAGGATGATAATATAATGATAGAACTTACAAAAATGTAGAATTGAGAAGTTTGAAACAAATAAAATTAAGAAAATAGAGATTTAATGACACTCTTAATAAATTTAAGATAATACTAGTTTTGATTTTTATGTTTAAATATTTATTTTAATTATTTAAAACAGAGAAACTATAATTTTAGTTTCTAAATACTGAATTTAAAGAATTAAATTTATTATTATTTAATCTTTTAATTTTAGTATTAAAAATTTAAATTATATTTTATTAAATTAAAATAATTACAATATATTTTTCTACTTTGAGAATGAACAATATAATTAAACTCAAAATTGACAATATTATAATACATTTTTGAACTCTTTTGGATTAATTTTTTTTCCTAATTTTTGATAAAGTTAATTTTAATATTTAAAAGTATTTAACATTTTGAATTCTGAAAGGTTTTCTCTAATAGCAAATTTAAAAACATAATATTCAAAAAAATAGTTAATGTAAGTTTTCATTATGATCTATAATAAGCGGTTCCACGTTAACCGCTATCTAAAGTATATTTTAGATAGCGGTTAAGGGTTAACCGCTATTAGAAGTGTCCTTTTAATAGCGGTTCAGATGGAACCGCTATCATATACAACCAGATTTTTTGATTATGATCGATTAGATTTTCAAAATGATCGATCATATTTGATAATTTTTTCAAATAATTAATTATAATCGATTAGTTTTCTAAATTATTGATTAGAATTGATTAGTTTTTCAAATAATAGATTAGACTTGATTAATTTCTGAAATATATACTAAAAAATTATAATTAAAAATATAAATTATTTAAGAATATTGACTATTGTAAAGATAAAGTAGAACATGGGAGGAGATGAGGATGATAATATAATGATAGAACTTATAAAAA